GACGTCCGATGACATCTTGCATAAAACCCTAAACCCCTAAACCCCTAATCCCTGAACCCTAAACCTAAGACTACCCCCAGAACGCCTCTTTCCGAGTCCTGGCAAGGACTGCAACATCATGATCTGGGACCTGAACAACCTGCAGGACACCCTTTTTAGGGTGTAGGGTTTAGGGGTTTAGGGTTTAGGGTTTATTAATAATCGCAGTCAGTAGCAAGGAATAATCACACGCTCAGGATATCACCATACCTTCCCAGCGTGGCTTGTGCTTGTGAGTTTGTCGAATTGCACTTCAGAAGGTTTTGGGATTTAGAGGTTCAGCTGTTTACGTTCGGGGTTTAAGCACGTCCCTTCAATTCGTTCTTTTGTTGTGGAGCGGAGTGTAAGGTCAAGTGGAGAATGCAGAGTTGCCGGGTGATGACATAAACACGTCATTACGCTTTACGGTCTAGAGCTTTAGGGTTGCAGAGCTTAGGGTTTGGGAATTTCTGGTTTGGAGCATTTTTAATGTGTAGGGTTAGGGTTCAAAGCTTTCCCTTGCAGATTTGATAGCTAAAAGAAATCACCCGGCCAGCAATAGAAACATGTCCCCCACATGCTGTTTCGGCATGCTATGTGAAGCCGAAATGCTCCTTCGGATGAGTTCGAACGCACCTAGGAATCGGCGCATCCTGCTCATCATGCAACCTAGGCATCGAAGCTATGAAACGCACACGTCCCGTTGCCGCTATCATTGCCACATCACGTTATAGAATTCGAGCTTGCTGCAACACGCTCATGTCGCAGTACATCGGTACCCTTCCGGGGCACCGCGGCTTTGTCAAGTGCATGGTGGTGCCAGCCTGAGCACCGTGATTTTGAATGTCGGGACTGCTCGTTGGAATCGTTTCATAACTTCGCCGATGAAGAGTATCCAAGCGGTTTAGGGGTTAGGGCCGATGAAGAGTAATATAGGGGCCTAAATAATTTCCTATATTATTTTGGGGGGTTCCTCATTGTACTTGTAGTATAATTATTAAAGCCCCTGTTAAACCCTAAACCCTAAACCCTATACATTATGCCAAAGCTGAGAAGCACTCAATCACGTGTCGCCTTATGCCTGGTTCACTGAGGCGACACTGGGACGAAAGTTGCTTTGCTCGGGTTCGCAGGACCGTGGGTAAACCCTAAACCCTAAACCCTAAACCCTAAACCGTGGCTTTAGGGTTCAGGCGGGAGCTCAGGGTTTAGGGCTGGATGTGGGTTAGAAGCTTGGGAATGGTGAGGGTTGGGGCAGGGTGGAGGTTTGTGTTTAGGGTTGGTTTGGGGTGTCAGTGCCGGGTCGATTTGAGGCTGAACTTGGGATTAGTTCGACTTCGGGTGTAGTTGTGGCCGTTGGGTCATTTAAACTCAGGATCGCGAAACCCCTAAAACCCTAAGCTCAAAGCCATTCTTTGGTCCCTTAACCCTAAACCGAAAAAATCATCATGCTAGACTCAGGGTTTAGGGTTTAGGGTTTGGTTTAGGGTTTAGGGTATAGACTCGCTTTTGCAAGTCACTCGAAGGAGTGCCTCAGTTCCTTTCTGGGGGTTTCGTGAGCTTCTCGGTGGGTCGACTGAAGGCAGGGCCTTAGATAAGTAGAATAGGTTTGTGGAGTACGTGATACGGTTGATGGACAAAATCCTGCATGGCCTTATATACCTAAACTATGGGATTTATGGTACTATACTATATTTGCGTCAGGCAGAATTTTGTCCATCAACAGTAGTATCCACAAAGTAAGGCACCCCATGCGTGAAGTGTTTAGGCTGTTGGGTTTGCGTTAAGGATGTTAAGGGTCTTTAAGCCGCAAACCCTTCTCCCAACTTTCAACCCTAAACGCTTCATTCTGCGCAAACCTGTATTCCAACCTTAAGCCCTAAACGCATCATCCAAGGGACTAAAGGAGGGACCCTTAAAGGGACCCTTGGGGTTATATAGGGGCTTTATGAGACTATATAAAAGGGGTATATATGGGTTATATAGGGTATTTGGATTAAGGGTCCCTTCTAGGGGTCCCTCTTATTGTCCCTTAATTCATTCCGCGTTTTTTTCAAACGAGCGCAGCCCTGAGCGTTAGACCCGCAAGCCTGGGTACTGCCCCCACTCAGTAACAGTTAAGTAGTATATTTATAATATCGATATACATATATATATATATATATAGACACCCTAAACCTTAAACCCCAAACCCTAAAACCAATACCCTTATCACAAAAAATGGCCTCTGATGGTAGCCTTGTTACAGACTGGTGATTGTATGGAGGGCAGCACACAACTTGAAGCCCCTAAACCCTGAGCCGGTCATCCGGCTCTAATTACTGCCCGAGGCCCCCGAAGGTTCGGAGTTTTAGGGTGTAGGGGTTTGGGGATTTACGGGTTTAGGGTTTTAGGGTTTAGGGGTTTGGGGTTTAGGGGGGTTAGGGTTTAGAGGTTTAGGGGCTACTTTGTTGAGGTTTAGGGTTCAGGGTCTAGGGTTTATCTAGGGTTGACACAGTCTGCCCACCGTGCCAGCGCGGCAAGCATCGGAGGACAAGACGATTAAGGTTTGGAGCCTGGAGACATTCTCTTCCACGAAGACACTATACGGGCACACCAGCATCTCGGACAGATCAAACTTGCTAAACCCATAAACCCTAAAGCCCTAAACCCCTAACCCTAAACCCTAAACCCTAATCGGATGTTGCCTTCGTAGGATGGAAGTCTTCGGGGAGGGGCGGGTTCTCACTGCTGGGCTGGCGACCAGGATGTGAACTGACCTGCCGCGACTGGAGCAGTTATAAGAGTCTTATGTTTGTCGGCTCTTACCGTCGGCAAAGAGTAATATAGAAGCTTAAATAATTACCGATACTAGTTTGGGGGGTTCCTAATTATTATAACTATATAGTATAATGGGCCCCAAACCCCTATTGAAATTATGAAGGCCTCTATAGTAGAAGCCACCTTCCAAAGAATGCTGCCAGATTCCCGATTCGGAGAGCCGTTTCAGGGTTCAAGCGATCCTGCGCTCCAGATCGAGTGTTCAAGTGGAGAACCTAGATCCCGGAGCTCTGGCCATGAACCTGGTCGCCCGGGGCTTGAGGATACGATTCGCAAGGGTTGCCACAGACTTGCGCGCCTTTCACTGAGGTCTTCTGTTTGCTTCCTGCCTTGGCAGATGCCCTGCAGATCAACGTCAAGGCCCATCTTGTGCGAACTTTGAAGCATCTTAAACGGCGCATTCTGCGACGCCAACATTTCTTCTCGAACGTGTCACAGCAAACTTGCAGCATCTGCAACAAGTCACCTGCACGGCTTGTTGACAGTTGCTGACGAGACTAGACTAGACACTTCTAAACTGTTCGGTCAAATTTTCGCGCCTCACCTGCCGGGCAGGTGCAACATTGGCAGCACGGGTGGTCTTTTCAGGTTGGATTCGTTAGATTGTCATGCCCTCGATTCTCTGAGTGGTCTCAGCATGTTAGCCTCGTGTCAGGAGTTGCTCACTTGCTACGAAGCTATTCCGCTGGCCATTCCGCTGGTTGCCTTCGTCGTAGTGGCCTTCGTTTGGACGTGTTGCAAGCAGGCAATGCAGTTTCTGGTTTCTGTAGGTGCTGCAGCTTCCGCAGCTTGGTGCATGCTGTAGCAGACGTGTGGTGCAGGCCGTGGTTTGCTTTGTCGGCACTAAGCAGGCCTGTCTGCTTGGTTTCTTCCGAGAACTCGTTTGCTGCATCGCTAGCTTTGCCATTGCGATTTTCGGTTTTCAGCAAGCCAGGCACCCCCAGCGCCACCAACTGCGGAAAATCCTGCACCAGCTGCGGCGCTTCGACGACCAGCGCCAATCCCCCTCGGCATGGAAGGTGACCATGAGCACTGGTGCCCACCACAGGCTGGATGTCAGCGATGAACGCTGAACTTGTTGCTCTTGGTCCTGCGGTGCTGCGCAGGTGAGGCGGGTTTCCAATGCCAATGGTATCAGGGCTGGGGTCGTGATTCCGGCCCAGTACTGGATGGATCCTCAGTGCTTCGATTCGGCGTGATTCTAGTCGACCATTTGCTTCAGCCAGATGTTGTCACGTGCCTCATGCGCGCACTGAGGCCCCAGGGAGCTTCGCCGATTATGCGACGCCTGGGGCTGGAAGGAAAGGACTACTTGTATGTGAGCATGAATCACGTGACTCAGCACCGTGGAGTTGAGTGGAGCTATGTGATGCTGGCGGCAAATGAGGCCGGGAGTGATGAGAAAGCATTCGGATTCGCGCTTTGTCCCGCCTCGCAGAGTTCCGAAATTCAAGCTTTGATCGATGAAGCATTTTGTCGGGACGGTCGGATGCACGAGCGGTGTCAGGACGTGCACTGCTGGGTGCCCAGCTGCTGTATCAACACTCTGGAGAACCCTCAGTAACGAGGCAGGTGGGCTTTTATTCTTCTACTGCCATCGTTGGAAGATGTATTGCCATCGTTGGAAGAAGTTTTGGTACTGGAAACGACATGTCTCTGCCTCTTCAGTACTTGATGACATACAGTGACATGCCATACATCGAGAAGTGTACCAGGCCGTCAGGTTGAAGCATGGTCGGGGCAGGTCTGTGTTGATTGTGTGCCCTGCTATGAATACTGCGCCTCTACTTCGACGAGGCATTCGGCCTCCTAAGTAGTTGTAATCGTTTGATGATTTACCAATCCCCTAACCCTATAAACCCTAAACCCCTAAACCCTAAACCCCTTTTCTCTCCGTCACACGTCTAAACGAAGCTCTAAACCCTGTACTGATGTGTTGGCAGGCGCCGTGAAGCGCCTGCTCCACCAGACTGTACTTGGTTCAAAAACCTTTTCTCCAAGCTTTCCGTTGCGCTGCCCATGCAGGTTGACGCAAAGTCTCTATGTCAAGGCCGCTGGCCAGGTTCCACGCACCTCGGCTTTTTGTGGTGCAGGTCTTCCGTGAAGCACGACGGTGAGAACCCTCGGTAATGTACAGTCGTGACCGCTTCATGCAAGTACACGGTCCGCGCGATGTAAGTGAAGAGCCTTTAATTGCAGGCTTTCGAGGATGCCTCAAGTACTTGCAAGAACATTCAGGCAGGGCATGTCGAACAATAAAGGGCATGGAACACCACATGACTGCATCGGGGAACACTGTAGACATCAGCAGAACTATGTAGAGCCATCAGCCCCACGAGAATCTCGGTTGAGGGATGCCGGCAGTTTTCACGGAGGGCGCTAGAAGGGTGTGCTTATTTATTTTTGGAAAGCACGATTTTCTACACATGTTCTCAATAGGTTGTGTTTTTGTGCGGTTTTTCAGGTAACCGTCTCAACAACTCTTCTCATGGGTTGTTGGAAGGGTTTCTTATTCCCTAAACCCTATAAACCCTACAAGCCCCTTAAACCCTAACCTCTATAAGTCTATAACCCTAAACCCTAAACCCTAAACCCCTAAACCTCTATAGTGTTGTCATGGGGTCAGGTTTGTGGGTTCGGCGCTTCAGCGGTTTAGCGGCTGAGAGGCCGTGGCGCCCCGCCGGGTGGCCCCGCCATCGCCCCCCCCCCCGGCGCCAAAGTTTTGGGAGGTAGGGGTTCAGGGTTTATGGTTTAAGGTTGAGGGTTTAGGGTTCAAGTTTGAGGGTTGAGGGTTTAGGGTTTAGGTTTGAGGGTTAAAGTTTAGGGTTTAGGGTGTTGTCCGGCTTTGGTGTTTCGGCAGAGATCAGATCGTATTGGAAAATCTTTGCTGTCCAATGGACAAAGGTACCTGAGCTGGATATTCCCTGCATCCTGAACCCCTGATCCCTAACCCATATGCACTAAAGGCCTGAACCCTAATTCCTTTTTCTGCCCAGGACACTGACGAGCAGGACTTGGAGTCACTTTTCTACATGATCGATGAGGATCAGTCTGGAACCATCGATGTGGCCAAGTTCATCGGCCTTCTTAGCTGGTGGGAGCATGATTCCAAGACCGGCCCCCGGTTTCTCAAGTACAACATGATCCAGACGATGAATCTTCAAGAGGAGCTCTATGATCTGTCGAACGAAAATTGATGGCGTGGCCCCGTCAGTTGTTGAACTGAGGCCACCGCTTCTCTCCGCTGGCGGCTAGGAAGAGGTCCGAAGCGACAGAGATGCCCACATCGGAAGTCAGACTCCCTCGCATTTGAGATGCTCACGGGGGATCTGCAAGAACGATCCAAGTCCTTCAGCCGCCTTCGCCGTGCGTGTGAGAATGGAGGGTGCTGTTGCGAACTTACGGGTCGGTTCCCAAAGGGTCCAAAGTTACTATATAGTAGAATGTACGGTTTCTATATTAGGAATCCTTATTATGATTTGGGATTTGGGAAAGTATCCCCCATAACAGTACCTAGGACCCTCTGGGGTTGTTGTTGCAGAGCTCTCGTGGACTGCAGCGAGCAAGGATCAGGGCCTAGCCTGGAGCGGAGAGCGTGGAAAGGGCGAAGATTATTTTTTTTTGGGGGGGTCCTTACTGTAATTACAGAAAGGGCCCCAAAACCCTATTCGAATTATTACGGCCCCTACATTACAGCAGAAGGCGTCAAGCTACGTCATGAGCTGTGGAGTTGCTCTCTTGTAGATTGGGGCAATTGAGGGTCTGAGTCGAAGTACAGGGGTGCCAGGTCCTGTTATGGGGGATGCTTTCCTAAATCACAATAGTCATCCCGAGATTGAGAAGTATAGGAAACCCTACATTCTATTCTACCAAATAATAGGTACTTAAGAGCCCTTAAAAGGACCCTAGGCCCGAAACCCTTAAAGGAACCCATAGTAGGTACTCAGGTACCCAGGACCCGTTGGATTCGCATTTTCGGGCTCGGGTGGCTGAGAGCACTTGTCCCGAATATATTCCAGACATCAAACACCCAATCCACGCAAGCTGAACCTTTGGACTTACCATGAGGCTGATAAAGGTAGGGGCCTTAATAATTTGGTTGGGTTTTGGGATATGTTATAGTATAAGTATAATAAGGAACCCTAAGGAATAGTGTTGATAATTATTTAGGCTTCTGTAGTATCTTGAACAATATACTATATACCAGGTTCTGTAAACGATATGCTGTATACTTCATGCCATCTGGAAGTGGCAAAGACAATCATCGTGTCACGGCTGGTGATGGCTAGCACGGCCATGATGGCCATGATGATGGTGTTGGTGTTTCAGGTGAGGGTAGTGACGATGAAGACGACGATGATGTCACTGACGACGATGCTGACGGCGATGACGATAAAAGCGGCGACGATTAAAGGATAACAACATGCCGGAATGAATCGCGATAGTGACTTCAGCTTTCTGCACAACTCAACTATCCATGCAGGGGCCAAATGGCTTTGCTTCCAGACAGCACACGTCACTGGCCTGTGTGGGCGGAGAAAAACTGTAAGTGAACAATTGTTAACATGACCCGTCAACGTGTCAACGAGGGCCCGCTGCCATGGCAAAGCCGGTCAACATGCTAAACAGACCCGTGATCATGCTAAACAGTCCGTGTCAGATCCGTCAACATGCAAAAAATGGGCCCGTCGACATGCCAAAAAGCATGGCGAAAGCTCTTCTGGCATGCCGCCGCGGTGCCTTAGCATGCTGACGGGCCGCTTCCCTATCTACTATATACTGTACTATATATACATATATATACTATATATTATATTCTCTATGCTAGTTGGTACTTGCTGAAAACTTTGCACAACCTAAACCCTCAGAGACTTCTTGCATCTGAGGCGAGGTGAACAGCCTGACGCTCATGGATGGTGCGCCGGACTCCCCGCTCTGGAACTCCGAAGAACCGCTTTGGACAGTCACAGTGAATTGCGCCCAATGTAATGTAGGGGCCTCAATAATTACCTATACTATTTTGGGGGCCCCTTATTATAATTATGTTATAAAGGACCCCAAAACCCTATTCCATTTATAAAGGCCCCTACATGAGACCGATCCCAGCATCTGAGCCCCGATCAATCCGTCAGATGATGTGAACTGTGGCCTGCAGCTTTCCAGAGAGCCAAGACACTGTGCCATAAGCGCTAAATTTTGAGCCCCAAACCCCTAAACTCCCCAAATCCAAACTTATTGCCCTAATCCATAAACCCTAAAGCACTGAGCCTAAACCTAAAACGCGAAGCCCTAAGCCCAAACCCCAGTTGTTGCATGCCAGGTGGGGACACCCTCATTTCCGCTGGGGAGGACGATCCCTCGCTGCCGGGGCTTTTGTCAGCGGAAGTGAAAAACCCTAAACCCTAAACCCCTAAACGCTCAGGCTAAACCCTGATTGGCGTACGGCTTGGCGTAAGGTTCTACTAAACGGGTCCTACGAGGATGAATATACATATGTATGTGTGCATGTATGTATGTATATATATATATATGGGTTGTATAAGGGTTTGTATGGCTATCGGGGACAGTATCACAAATTGTTGAGGTTTCTATGTAAATCTGGTTCCTACTTGAAGCAGCTTCGAGCACGGGGAGTTTTCTGTAACCAAGGGCATAGGGCTTCCTCCTAGCTTGACGGAGAGCAGGCGTAACTGCCGAACACTCGACACCCCAGATGCGCAGCCCTAAACGCTAAACCCTAACCCGTTGCCTTTGCCGTCACATGGACGTCGCCTGCAAGGAAGCTCGCAAGTCCTCTTCCTTGGAGTGCACGGTTCTTATCTCCCATCGGAGGAAGAGCTGTCATGCCATGGTATACTAGTGGAGACTTTCGGAGGACATCGTTAAGCTGGTGTCACCATGGTGCTTCAGTCGACTTCCGTCGCAGCGTACGTGGTGCTCCAGGCCTCCATGCAGGTCTGAACTCCGTCATCGCGGGACGAGTCGGGCTCACATGGATCATGCGTAGGTAGAAATGGTGAAGAACTATTTGTACCATTCCCTGCGACTATATTCGACTTTCTAAGGCCCCCATGTATACATGACATACATGCATCCGCAGAGATATATATATACATATATATATATATATACACATATACGTAGATTCATACAGTTTCCAAGCCCTAAACCCTGTAGCCTGGTTGAGCTTTGAAGACCCAAGCCGCAGAGGCCCAAACTCCCAAACACCAAACCCAGACAGCCACAAACCCTACCTAAACCGCGGTAAACCCTGAACCCCTAAACCCCTAAACCTTAATCCCTAAACCCCAACCTTGAACGAAATCTGAGACCCCCAAACCGTAAGCTTAAATTCTCAACCCTTGGAAGCCTTGAAGGTCAGAGACCCCTAAACCCCAAACTCTCTAAAACCCTAAACCCCCAAGTCCCTAAGCCCAAAACCCCTAAAAAAACCAAACTCTACAGCCCCAAACCTCTAAATCCCTGTACCCCGAAACCCTTTAAAAAACCCAAGCTCGAAAGCCCCAAACCTCTAAATCCCTATACCCCCAAAACCCCGACACC